CGCCTACTGCTTTCGGACCATCAATTTTCACTTGAAGCCGGCGTCAACATCGTATATAGAGGTAAACGTAGGAGGCAGCAGCTTTAGACAGGACGTATATACATTTTTAATGATAACAAAAACGCATCTAAAAGCCTTTTATCAAAGCATGCATGGCTCAATCATTCGGGTAAAATTTCTGTGCAATACCGTATAATAATTAGCACTATGGTAATTAAGACTAAAATATAATAGCTTATTGCTAAGAATAACATCGAGTGATGTTGCCGGTTCGTCCGCAGGGCATCTTCAAGCAGGGTAACCTACGATGGCTAACCGTTGCCCTATCCTATTGACATAACCGTCTAACAGAAGTGGTAGTCAGCTCATCTAATTAACTAGTTAATTAATTAAGTTAATTAATGCTATCATGTATTATTTTAGCATGGCTAGCTCCAATCACTTCAGCAGAAACTAAAAGTCCGCTTTTTATTTTTCGCCATTAACGCATTTAGATGGCCAGTCCGAACGTTGGGACGCACTTTCCGCCAACTTCCTTTGTGTTGCATCACTACCTAATGGCGAATGTTATTAAACTAAATAGTTTATGCTTTGTTGAATGCGTCCGTTGGTGAACGCTAGTCACTATGTTGGCAAACTGAACAGTCAACGAGTTGTAGAAAGGGGTCCGTTACGCTGATTAGTTAAGGCAGACATCTAATGGTAGTACTAGTATGTATAGGTACGACTAGCGGAATGATATTGCCCCTGTTGTCCATTCTATTGTTCCACTGGTTCCCATTTACTTTTATATCTTGTTTTCTCTTTTTTGTCTCGGTGTTTCCGGAGTCACTTCCTTCCCTACTGACCTCCCACAGCCTTCTCCCACTGCCTTTCGCTATTTCGTTCGTACCATGTCATACCGGTCCGCGTGAACATTGGTGGCTCCGCTTATCCTAGTATTCTACAAAAAAACCTAGTCTTTGTCACTGCTTTTACCTCGCCCGCCCCTGACGTCCCCGACGTCAACGAAGCTGTCAAAAACATCAGCCTGAACGGTCAGCGTGAACCTAAAGAGCAAGGTCCACATGTCGGCCTTCTGCGTGCGTGTTCCGGGGCACAGCAAACTTGCCGCGGTGTTTTGTTGGAACGCGTCACAACGAATTCTGCAGGTCCAGTTACCTAGTTTGTGTGCTTTCGTTTCGTCTTTTGCTCCCTTCGCTGGTCATCGCTGTTCTTTTTCTCCTCATCCCAGACACGAATAGTTGTTACCATTCTCCCCCATTTCATAACAGTGCGGCAGCACGACTCTATGTCCATGTTCCGGCACGGGTCACTTCTTACTTTCCTGGCAGTTTTTTTCCATCTGCGTCTTTTTTTTTGCACATGAGCGCGCAAGTGGAAGCAAACGGGAAACGGAGATGGCGAAATACAAGCTTGTTGTTTGTCCCTCTACTGGTTCGATCCCATGAGCTACCCCTCAGCCGATCCAAACGAGACGATCGACAATACCAATGATACTTTTGACGCTGTACGTGTGTATACCAGTCAGTGTACTGCTCAGTTTGTATCACCCCGTTGGCACACCCCTCGGTGTCTGTTTCCGATCCCCTTATTAGGGCTACACGTGGAAAGTTGAGTATTGGTGACGCTCTGCACAGTGGAGTCACTCGACCTTTTCGGTGTTTGCCGTTGGCTTACTTATTTTTGTTGTTTACTGTTTCGTCATCTGTTTTTCTCAAGGTTTCTTACCTCTAGATCTCGCTCCTTGTTCTGCCTGTATGCGCACATTTAGTTTGTTTTCCATTTTTGTCTAGCGTCTTCTCTGGCATTTTCTGTTAGCCTGTTCAATATCTTCTACTTTATAGCGTCGCTGCGTCCTCCTACACTGTGGACGCCAGTTGCTGCTGGGCCGCAAACGGCAGCTGTTGAGACGCCCTTTGCCCTTAATTCCACTGACTTCAAATGTCGTCATCACTCGACATTGAACTTGTTTCTCAATTTCGTCGTCTCTAAAAATATGCCTAAATGCTAACGAATTTGGCCACCTCCATTTTAAAATCAAGACGGTATCGTATAGGCGGCCTGCTAATTGCGCATTCGAATCAAAATTGAGCAGGACGGTTGACGTCTTAAGAGGATAAGTAATTAAAAAAAAAGCAGCGGCAACTTGAGTTCAAAGTTGTGCTGTGTGGCGACGTTATGGTAAGTGCCTTTTGACGTTTTCCATTGTTTGACACTCCCTACTAGTCTTACTGTCCACAGAATTTGCTGTGTTTCCTGTGTCGTCATGTGCTTGTTTTGTTCACCGTTGCTTGTTCGACCTGTTGTTTTTTTTTCGTTGGTGTTGCTATAATCGCTACCACAACCGAAGCGATGACGCGGGATAGAGAAAAAAAGAAGCACGCCTGCATTTGGCATTCGGGCGAACGAGCTCATGTGCGTTTGCCCTTAAGCGTCCGTAATGTATGTTATATTGGGCTTAGTGGGTAAGGTCTGTGCACGTCCATGTCGGTGTCCTGCGTCACACCATTCTGAACGGTCATTGATTGTGCAAATAAACGCCCGAGTAAAGGGGATGTGCACGATTTCCTCAACGGTCTTTAAAGACAATTCGATCTTGTTCCGTTACAAATACACACGTCCACATACACAAACTGTTTTTGAAGTAAAAAATCAGATTTGACTTAACAACGGCAGCGCCGATAAGGATCCTTGTGTTACATATTTCGATACATGTATGTATGTATGTATGTATGTATGCACCAATGTGCAAGATTAAAGGTGTGAGTATGAGAAATGTAATGTTACAAAATGGCGTGGCCATAATAAAAAGTAACGATACGGATCAGAATATGTAGGTAACCGAGAACAGCCGACGAGCAATCTAATCTAATCAATATACTGTTGCATCCTAGAGGACGCATCTAGATGGCGCACTTTCATACACGTATGTTTTATAAGCTATTGCTATAATGAAAAGTGCTCCATAATTGTGATGCAGTCCGCAATTACGTTTACATGCGTATCACGAAGGCCGGCTTTTATCGTTTGAAGACTATGCTTTTAAGAGATGGCTTGTGAACTCGCGTCAAAAGTTAGACAGTAAATGATCACCATTAGGACTATTTAATCGTTCTAGTAAGTGCTCGAATTGGGATGTATATGGTATATGGAGTTAATTTTATAACGAACGTCAAACTATAACACAGAGCTTGGTGATCCCTTCTACGCACTTGGATGTTGGCAGACGGCTACGAACAGACGGAAAACGCTGAGTACAAGGACGGACGCTGTATATCCACCTATTAGTTCAGACAGGTGGCATATAAAGCGCTACGTTTGCCATTTAGAGTATTAGGTAAAACGGGAAAACGTGTCCTAGTCGGTCGGCCGACAAATTTACCTTTGAACTTAAAAAATACATCGTAAGATCTATAGCTTAGAATCTCTAACCGTCCAGCAATGCCTAGGTAGTCTTGAATTTGCTACGGGCAAGACTAACTCACGAAAAAGAGACGCTCAGTGCACAATTTATAATATTCTTAAACATAGCCTGAATTGTATATCGTCGTTCTTGTATCGTCGTGGGCTGCGTCAGCCCAGAAAAGCTGCCGTGTGCGTCCCTGACGATCTTCTTTTTTGTAGGGTTGAAACAATTTTCGCAATTGTCTTGTTTCTATTTGTTTTTTTTCTTACTTAGCCCTGTATACAAAAGGGACAAGGAAACGTTTAGTACCCGTATACGATACTTATAGATAACAGTAACACTCCCTATCAGATCGAAGGGATATTAGGGTATTATCAAATAAGTACATTTGTCGATCAATGATTGTTATGGAAACGGAGCCTTGTTAGCGGTGTGCACCAAAATGCTCACTCTGAACGTTATCGCAAGCATTGTCTTATTCCGGAAAATTTTCTAACCTCATCCTATGATCTTATATACACACAAACTTTATCTACTGACTGAAACAGTTAATCGCAAACGCAGTGGTACACAAACTATGGTTACTAAATTATGTCGCTGTTGCCCCTTCAAGCGATGATATATACGAGACAACATTACGAATGGGTAAATAGTGTTTCTAAATAAAACAGAAAATGACTCGATTTTTATAAGTGTTTATAGATTTTTTTGGAATGTAATAACGAAAAACTGTTTTATAAAGTCTCTATGAATATAGATCTCGATGAAAAAAAAAGTCAAACACGTACGCAGCACACTAGGTATAGAACTATGGTTTTGAATGTGCGATCTCGAACTATACGAAATCTTTTTTTAGTGCTACGTTCATATATATATACGAGCAAGTGTCTAAGAAGCAAGTGCCATAACGACAAAGTTAATTCTACCACCTAGATAAATAGTGAAAGTTGCCCCTGACTAACTGTAGAAACAATGGCAACCCGTTAAATTCACATTTTCATATACGGGCTGGTAGTTAACTCTGTCAAAGGCTCTAGCAAAATAGGCACCGTCTAATGCTCGATTATCGACATCTGGATAAGCCAGCCCTAGTCTGTAAGCATTGGCCGTTGTTAAAAATCTGTATTCCTTCCACGAATTTGAAGACAGTTTCTTTAGAAGAAGAAGCTTCTTTAGACAAACATCCTTAAGAAGCATACAGCAACGACACTGATAGTAATAATAAATAAAGAAAATCAGGTTTGGAATGATCTGCTTTTGCTTGCTGATTCATTTTGCTACCGATACACACTACCAAAATGACCTAAATGCTTCGAAAACCTGCTAAAGAGTTCATCAGCTTCTTATGACAAAAAATGTTTTCTTTCTCTCTCTCTCTCTCTCTCTCTCTCTCTCTCTCTCTCTCTCAGCTTCTTCACGAAAGGCGGATTTTCGCATACCTTTCACATATTTAATCTTTCTCGCTCTTTCACTCTCGCGCAAATGCGCTATCTAATACACCGGTCTGTTCATAGAAGCCGATGTGTCTTGGTTATTAAGCAGGAGGCCACATTCGAATCCCTAAGCATTTTTATTGAGTTAAAATATGTTGCTACTTTTTCGATGTCATAACTGCTAGAATTAACATTACACTGGCTACAACAATGAGGCCAATAAAGTTGGTAAGGTGCCGTTCGACTGAATGTCCGCGAGAGGTATAAATAACTGAAGCAGGGGCACCGACGCCGGCCCTACTTTTTGCCCGCACCTGCACCAAATATAGTTTGCTTTTTCCTATGCCGTGCACGTCTATAAAATTAACCGAGGCATTAACGCAGCGTTGCATAAATAGCGCCTGGGCCTGTACGGCTGGGACCTGTTGGGCTGACGGGTTCGTTGAGATCTGAACCTCGTAAGTTAACACAAGGTTATCGGGAGCAGTGTATGGGGGTGGATTCCACAGAAGGCGTAAGCCGTGCATCGTCTCCTCGACGCTAATCATACTTGGGGGCCCAGGAGCTGAAAGTTAGAAATGGGAAATAGTTGGTAATTGCTTGACACGCCATAAGAAAAAAAAGTCACTTGGGTTAGATAGATGCAAGCCAAATTGCGGCCATCTTTGTAGTCAATTTATGTGTGAAATTTATTGATGATGATGATGACGATGGGCCTATGCGTGGTAATGCGTTTTCTAAAGTTAATTCTTGTGCCAAATCTGATAGTTACCGCACATGGAGAAGTTGTGGTTGAATGCTTCGAGACAAGAAGGCGTTTCAAACCATCTTGTGTAGTTGAAACCGCTAAATATTGTGCCTGTCGAATCCGTTGATTTAATTACCATTGTGTAGTTTTGGGTGAACGCTAGATCTTGGAGATCCTTTCGGAAGAAATCCTGCGGTAGACTGTGAATACGACGAGAGGTAGAACCATGAAGGTTGTTGATAATATCAATGGAGTAATCACACGATGGCAGAATCTGATGTTTAAAAACAATCGTTGCTTTGATTCGACGATTATAACCTTCCATACGTATTATGCGTACGTTCTTTGGAGCCTCAAATTCGCCTGGTTTAGGTGACGCGTATGTCCAGTGAGAAGACCTAGCAGGAAGAACGCCATCCACCGTAACAGGGGTCACTCGGTATTGATGCACGCCGCCTGCTTCAACGGGAATCATTGTTAACCCCGACCAACTCTAACGGATTACAAATAGCTATTATTATTATCAATCAGCTGTTTCAGTCGTAGTTCATTTTCATAGCCTCGTTCCATACTTTAAGGATACTTAGGACGCCACGTACATCTGCTACGCTTCTCGTAAGTCTGTGATAAAATATTATATAATTGGCTTATACTATTAGAGAATATATTATTATTTTATAGTTGACTGAATACCAAATGTACATAAATTATTAGTCAATTTTGTACCAGGTTCTGTTCTGATAGTTGAAAAAATAGTCGTTGATTTAAATCGGCAGGGTAAAATCAAACGTAGGAGGGAGACATTCAAGTAAGTTTTATTGATAAAGTATTGGGCAGGACTTGCCGTTTCTGTTCGTTAAAGGCAATAATTAAGAACGGCTTGCTTAATCTTTTTGCTCATTGTTGGCAGGACGTTCTTGCAAGTTACGCTTCGTTGTCAGGAAGAAACTTCCCCGAGTAAAGAGAGCCCCTGAGATTCATCTGGGAATCACATAAATCGTTGCGATGCAAGAAGTGTAACTGCTAAATACAATGATACACGTGTTCTGGGTTAAAAAATTAAAATTTTCCATCAGGCTCGAAAAGATGATATGACAGGCGAAAACTGCTATGGGAAAAGAAGTTACATTAAAATTGATGAGATCAATTTCTATAATAATAATAATAATAAGAAAATAAATAATAACAGTCTTGCTTTCGGTGCAGCGGCATAAATTTTTTTCGAAATAATTTTTCGAATTTACTATGTTATAGTTTTTTTTTTTTTTTTTGTAATACGTCAGTCTTGTTATCTCTAAAATACCATTAAAAAATAATACCATTTGACGTTGAAAACCGTATCGTAGCAGATCGGCTAAGAAGCGATTCCAGATTGGTCTGATTGAGATAGTTATAGTACTATAACGATCTGTAAATATATAAAGTACAGACGCACCTGGTGACATCTATAAAACCCATACTTAAAAGAGCGTTTCAAATTTTTTGCGCGAATGATTCAACTAAAATAACCGCTAATAGAAAAGTCGCTGGGAGTATCTAAATTCATGTCCGGTTTTATCTAAAGCACCACAGTAGACACCGAGATACTCTGATCATTTTTCGGCTACGCGACCCATATCAAGTCCACTAGAGACCAAAGTGGTAATGATATAAGACTAAATAGAGTAACCAGCGGTGAAGACAAACTGGAGTGAGTGAATCGCTGATTCGTCTGATACATAATAATCTTCCGTTTACCGTTTGCCCTTGTACTCTAGTACTTTGCTGAGTCATTTCTCGCCACCCGAACCAGTGTTCAATCAGCTATTAGTAGCTCATCTACGGTGTGCTTGCATATTTAATCAAGTTCAAGCGATTTAAATAAAAGAGAAGCTACAGATACAAGTTTAAGTTCTACAGTATCGTGAATTACCATTCCCTGTAACGTCCACGGTTCTTCGATGTTCGGCTGCGATCGGGTTCGGTGCTCGACGATAAACACAATAGGTACAGATGACCTTACGTACGTCCTGGATGTCGTGTTAGATAGATACAATTCGAACATAAATCCTGTGACGAATCTTTGAGTGTATTTTAGGCAAACTGCACGGGGCCGGTCTAGCTTCAATTCCGCGAGTTTCACTGAATCAGCCAACAGGTTTTTCGGCTGGGCAACTAAATGCTGACGGAAATCACCTACGATCCTGCATATGGCAAGCTGGCCATAAACAACAACGAACAGAAGGCTAGCTCATGTTAGCGAAAACACTTTTGTTCTAATATGATTGAATTCTACGAATGAGCTTTGTGAGTTTACATTACTATAGGGCACGAAGAACGCTAACGATCGCAGAACGTCTTATAAACTAACGCGTCAAAAACGTAATCGATATGATAAGGTGTCCAAAATCATTCTATTTTTTTTTTTTAGTTGTTCGCTGATCCCTGTGATGTTATTGCGCACTTATATTATAATAAATATGCTCAACTCTTCGCTTTTCTCAATGCTTTTCGAAAGAAACTTCAATCTTGTTTATGCCTACAGACCAAACAATGATAAGGTAAACTGAGATAAAATAGACTATATATATATATATATATATATATATACTAAAATTAACAGGACTATTTTTATTAAAAGGTCACGCACTACTTGAAAGACAAACCTACCGATCTGCATTGTCGGTTACACTCACTCGGGGGTAGTTCACAAGCTAATTCACAAGTCCTGCATTTCGCACTGGTTCTACAGTCAGTTTCTATTAGAAAACCAGGATCATTCCTCGTTTTCTCAAGTTCAGGCGCGGAGAATAGCAACCGACATTTCGCTTTACATCGTCCGACTTGAACCGCTGCTAAAAATTGAGACGAGTGCCTCACGGACTGCTCAGCAACCCGGGTCTTGTCCACACCGTCCTGTTGCGTTCCTGTATTGAGAACGTCCTGTTGGTATGAAAAAGACGTATTCAACAATCGTGGTACGCTTCCTCTTAGACCAAAATCGGGCCTTGGCGCATTGGTGTACAGTGAACGACTGAATATCGACGTGTTGCAGTGGCCAGTGAAAACGCAAGTGGCTAAAAGAAGTAGCAACATTGCCATTGCTGCGTTCGGATCTTGCTAATAAGCTAGGCGATCAGACGCTTTCAGCCCATTGATTGATCTGCGCTGGTTATAGATCAGGTTTATATAGCAGGCAGATTAATTCGAATAACTAACAATGTACATCTCCAACAGCAGTTGTCTCACAATGCCCTTTCAGCTGTTAAGCCGTCCGAGGGTAGGTTCCTTCGACACTGAGGGCCAATTTTTCATCTCAGCAGGACTAATTAGCACAGAGTGTACAAATGGTTTTCTGATGAAACGAGTTTTCCATTTCAAACGAGATATCACTCTAATTTAAAATTATTTCGTGATAATTGCTAAATTAGTTTAAAGTCAATACCATATGTCGGGTTTCTGAAGTAGGGGTACTGGCGTTTGTTTGGCGAAAATGCTGGCGAACTAAAACTAATAGTATTAGACAGGGGCATTTCGAGTGCAGCCGCAACATCTTTAGCAAGGGCCATGAAGTCAGCTTTTATCTGTTAACTGGTGATAAAAGTAAGTTGAAAATAAGATGAAGATTGCTTGATCAAGTGGGCTTCTAAAGTACAAGATGACATATTATTCCATTTCAAACTTGCCAAAAACCTACGATGAATGCCTATATCGTCTGGGAAACGATTATAAAAAGTTCTGTACACTGGCTATTGGCATATCTTGTGTCCTCTTCGATTACGCTACTTACGTCGATTTCGTGGTCATGACCTTACGAGTAAAGTGTCCTAACTAACATAGCGAATGCAAGAAAACGCAAAGATTGCTGTGCCCGCAATTGTATTAAGACGGCTAACCTTGGTCGCGTGATTTCGAATCTTACGTGTCTCAAAGTTTGCTAGACAAATACGTCCCCACTGTACCGTTAACGAGACCTTTTCCATCGCAAAAAATGTATTCATCTACCACGCTGCAATGCCGATTGAATGAATGCCGCATATATCATGGCTTCAATGGAATGATGCCTGATACTTCAACTCGCTCTCTATGATTTTAGCGATAAATACATCATGCTAGTGTATGCTCTTCCTTAACAGACCCACACCAAAAACTAAATCATTTTGACGCCAACAACATTCTGTAAATAAGTCATCACAAAATCATAATCGGCGTCTCCGGGTGTCTCCTCCTGCTCCTAGACGGCCTGTTTCGTAGCGAACGCATGAAGCATCTCATCCATATGTTCCATAAAGCCATCCAATTCGCTATCCGCACCGTTCACATGCACTTTGTAGAAATACTGAGTATAAAGTAAATCCGATACCTTCGTTGGCCTTCGAATACCTTCGTCCAGTGAGTTAAACGGAAACCATTTATTTGCTAAAAAGGATAACTTCCAAGGCTATTCCATATGGTTAAATTTGCATTGGAACTTAACGAACTAAGAAGATTACGACCGAGATGATATGAGTCAACACATTTTTCCCTACAGCATGAAAAGTTAGCTAGTGAATATGGTGTATACGTCACAAACAAGATCAACGTAAAAAAGAGATTGTCTTTTTAGTAACGCTATTTAGTTATCTTGCACAAACGATCTGGTCATGTAATGTAACTTGAAATCAGTTGAAACTATTCGCTCAACAGACTGAACCTGATCCGTACACAATAACGAAGCCACGCTTTTCAAAATTATAGCCGGCAGATTAACTGACCAATCGCAGAAGTCCATGCAGGGGCATGGTGGGGGTGTTAGCTGCCTGAGGAAGAACAGTTGTTTCTTCGATGGCCGGCCAATCAATTGACAACGGAATGCGAAAATAAGAATTCTGTCTTTCGCCTTCTCTGGTCGACTGGGCAATTTTAGAGCAAAGGTCGCCGGCCTACGGATACGGCTGGCCTCCTCACACGCTGGAGCACGACAGCTTAACGCGACCTTTACTTTACATTATACAAAAATCTAATAAAATTGCGACAAACTACCAATATCAACGTATCTGTTCTTTTTATAAACAGGGAAAAATTAGCAGTCCGAACGAAGTAACGGCACCGGTATAACTACATGTTTTTTTATAAATACATTTCGATTGGTGTGGTTAGAAAATTTTCACGCAAAACTCATATTCTTACGTAACAGAAGAGGCGGAACTTGGTTCGAATTGTTCTTTTTCTTAGGATTCAATAATGAGTGGCTCAAGAATATTCAGTGGTGTTAAAAGTACAATGACAGTATCACAGGGAGACTCACGCCGATCCATTACTTGCAATTAATTAGACAGGAAGTGAGTTAACAGAATTGCTCACGCTGCTCATAAATAACGTTCCGGATCTTCGAGAGTACTTAGTAAACATATATAAGACAATTTCGTAAATTTAGCATCTAGACAAAACAGTCCAACAATGCTATACGCTATCAATGAAGATCCAGAGCAATGAAAAATATATCTGCACATAGAATTCGGAACTAATGGAAATAAGATGTGCTGATGGAGCGAAGAAGCTTCACTCAAATAAAATGGCGAAATCTGCGTTCATCTACTGAGCCGTTCTGTTTTCACGGAAGAGCGGCAAGCGAGTTTCCTACAAGCGGTGCAACTTCTTATGGAAACGATTGATTTTTCCTACAGTGCATTGATGGTGACCAATTGCCTGAAGATAGGGCAACTAGCTCTTTTTTCACCGCACTTTCGAGATAATTTCGGTAAAAATAGCAAATTTCGATCGAGCATCAGTATCGTATTCGCGTTTCCTGACTAGAATCTTCTAAACAGATTGCTCAGATGATGGGGTTCTCGATACTATCCTACACGTTCCCAAATGACAGCAGTGTGCTTTTTCTTATCCGAAGCGATGACACACGCAAAGGTTTAAAAGTTAAAATTGTATAGGGATTCACTTCTGAAGTTTGTAAATCACTACTACCCCGTTGTCATCAGCGAATTGACAGAAAAACGATTTTGGCCATTTTCAATCTATGTGGCTTTACAATTTTAATATTAATTTTAGATAAACGAGGTCATAAAGATTTAAGCTGAGCTACGCCATTGGGATTTCTGTTTTTTCGTCTATAAACATTGATTTTAGAAAGGACGCTAGAAGCGATTAGCCTTAGCTGGGATGTTATGGTAGGCTTCTATTAGGCGCTGCAGTTACCTTCGCATGCCCCAGGGGTCTACTTATTACAGTGAGATTTATTGAAAATACACGTGGAGAGAAGCTGTAAGTTTATAATAATTACTTTCATAACAATACGATTAAAATATAAAAATATCGCTATTTCGTCTTATAAGGGCGCATATGGTAGATAGGGAACTTTACATTCCCTTTTCACTTTATTTTTCTGCAAGCTCAGAAAAAATTGGGCAAATCCAGATCATTATCAGCAGCTGTTAAATTACCGATACTTTGCATATACCTATAGTGTGGCATATACATCTGGATGATCGGGCCAGCTGGTTATCCTAGCGTAACAGGGTCAGTTTCCGGAATTAAAATAGAGACTCGAATGCCCAGAACGCTAGGATCGTTCCTATGGAAATTTACAGCAGTTTTGTAGAATAGAATATTAACTAGATAAGTTCCAACGGTTATTGTGTTCGAGTTTTTCGGCGGCTTTTTGGCCTTTTTTTTTACTAACTGGCCTGTTATTAACCCAAAATTCACTTCCGCCGATATCTTTTGTATATTGCGCTTTCGTGCGGAGCTTAACGAGCGTCTACTTGTCTCTATCATTCTAGGCACTTTGCCATTATGGATTAGGCTCCACTGGTTTAGGCTCTAGCTCAGCGATGTGATCAGTGTGAATGACGTTTATGTTAAATCAAAAACGACCTTGTACTACGTGTAAACATTTCGATCAAATATATGATTTTTGCTAAACGCAGCCTGAACTCGTAAAAAAACGTTTGACTTTATATATCCATGTAGATAACACCCATGACACTTAGTACAAGTCCATTGTACAGCATAACAAGTACGCTAGTAGTTATCTTGCTTGTCTTCAACGTTGAACGGATTGCACTCTTCACCCGCTAGTTGAATGTGATCTACGTTTTTGTCGGTGCCACCGCCGCCGCCGCCGCCGCCGCCGTCGTCGTCTTAGTCGTGTCGTCCTAAGTCGAATCCTCTAAGGACAGCATAAGTAATGGATTTTTCCATTTTGCTAACTATCGCGTGTAGCTTTTAGCAGCTCTAGCCGCAGTGGTAATGTTTTTCCATCTAGCGAATAGTACATACAGGATGCCGGCTGCAACGAATGAGACCGATAACACCGAGAAGTCAGCTTATCGCGTACAAAGTGAAGTGTTTACTTTTGCCTATCCCGTTGTTTGTCGAACTTCTGTATCCAATTGCCGCCACGTGGCGGCAATTGGATACAGAAGAAACTAGTCCTTCTCATGCCACTTAACAGTGTAACATTGAATACATATGGACTGAGAGGGCTACTATACATTGTACTGTCAACGTTGTTACCGGCTATTCAACATATAAAAATTTACATTGACTACGATTTATGGAGTGCGCTGTTTTTTGTTCTCGTGTACTGTGCCAGCTGAAAGCATTGGGTCTACCCTATTTATCCTAGTCGACAATCATGTAAAAAGTAAAGAAAAGCCAATGGCCTACCTCACCTTGAAGCCGATTTATTGTCGCGTCAGATAGCAAACCACAGCAAATTGACGAACCACAAAACCGGAGAGAAAAATAATATCCCTGCTACCAGAAATTTTTGAAGAAGGCAGTCGACCAGAAACAATATTAGCTATAGCGTGAGCAGTTCTTTACGTACGTTTTCCAACATAAAGTGGCAATTACCGTGTTCTTCAGCTAGTGCATTATATCTGTGCTTCAGAGGCGCTAACAGCCTAACCCTCATCTAAAGGCAACTGCAGATAATCGGTGTTACAGTCGTCTGTCTATGCGACGTGGGCACGTAAAGCAACCTTGACGAGCTCGCTGACAACGAAAGCTGACCACCTTTTCAAGCTCAGAAGTTCACGTTCTATTGCTTAGTGTTCGGCCCATTTCATGCTGCGTGATGTGCTGATGCTGGGTCGCTCATCCGGTCCTTGAATGGAGCCAAGCCACAACACATAGAAATGATAATGGACACAATGAAGAGCGATCCTCTGCCTATACGCAACGTGAAGCTCATGCCCTGTACGCTCTCAACTCCAATCGCTGCGCGGGCAATTTAAAAGTTCATACCGATAAAAGCAGACAACTCTGCCAATTATACGAGCGTTAGCCTCGAACGTGGCCGCAGATGTCACTGGCCTGAACAACTCTGCATTGAATCAGTGTACAATATGTGCGGACATTTTTCGCTGCCGTTAATTTAGCTCAGCTGAATAGTCGACCTCTTCATTTGAGTTAACTATTTTAGATGCTAATACTTAGTACGTGATCGAACAACAACCTACGAAATGTCGGAGAAGATGCTTGTTGCCGTACATTACATAACCTTTCGATTATATAATACTTCGTTGATATATATGTTAGTTAGTTTAGTGTACTACTTATAAAACGTATTTAGGATTTCCACAAAAACATTGCTGCAATCCGATATAGTTTTTACTTATTCCCTTTGTTAGAGCAAATGAGCGGGCTATCCATATCGTATGTAGGAGCTCCAGCTGCAGGCAATTGTGCAATACCCGCATAAGGAAATCTTTGATGGGTGTAGGGCACGCGGAGGCCGTCATTGCCCCCGTTACGGATAAGTTGTTTCCTGAAGTGCTTTGCTGGTGTCTCAAGTAATGCCCCGCATATTTACTGAGCAATTTAGTAATTTCGCATTTTGCAAAGAGACCTGGGTTCATGTCGATAAATTTTAGCCCCCTTGCAGGGAAAGCACATCCTTTGCCGCGGCGTAGCCGGGCTTTCAGTTAATTTGCTGACTGCATTAGTGGCGTTCAAAAATATACATAATCCAAGATGAACGAGAAATGAAGCTAAGCCTCATTGCAAAAAACCCTTCATGCCTACTTGGAATTTCCTTGTTGTTGAATTGTTAAGTTTTTTGCCACAGCTGTAGTTTCGCCATTTACCTGAGAGCACATATTGATGCAAGATCTATACTAACTCTAGTTACTGTCAACATTAAATAGGTCAACACATGTCATCCTTCACCTTCTATCTTCTCGTTCCAAATCTGTATCATAGTTATGCCTGCTAAGCTGCTCACGCTCCCAGACGCATATTATTTGACATTCAATGAAATGTTAGTTTTTAATAGGAATATCCACGAATAAAAAAAGTTGAATGGATACTGTGGTGCTTTTGTTTGTAGCTGAGTATGTCTGTTTAGTGGTGATATTTACAGACCGCTGCGCAGCGGACAGCGGACGAAGGCTTTTTTTTGTAAGGCTTTTGTAGAACGAGCATACGTTTAATGGTAAACACAAGCACCTGTTCTTACCACATGTTAAATGCGATAAAAGAGCGTGTTGTGTGATTACGGGGCGAACGTACATCAACGCTTAATCACCTTTACGTACGCAAAAGATGCTACATAGTGCGCAATATCTGAATCCGGAAATACACGAATCTATCGGTCACTGCTTGCACAAAGCAAGATCATTCATACCTGTCTATGCTTGAGGTTTTGACAATGTAAGTTACATTGTACAGTGCATCGCGGTGTGTCACAAGACCGATGCGATCAACTTAAATAAGGTCTGACTAAACAGAATGGATTTTTGTAGACTTTGCCCATAGTAA